GTTGTGGCCAAAAGAGAGAATGCAATCCTTGGATGCATAAACTAGGAAATGTTTAGTAGGAGTAGAGAGGTTACTTTACCTCTGTAAAGCACTGGTGTGACTGCTGATGGAATACGGTGTCCAGTTCTGGTTCCTACAGTTCAAGAAGGATGTTAACAGATTGGAGAGGGTTCAGAGAAGAGCCACGAGAATGTTTTCTAATCCTCTAATCACATGCCTTATAGTGATAGGTTGAGCTCCTTCAGTTTATCTATCTTATAGAGAAGGTTGAGGAGTGACTTGATTATAGACTAGAAGTACTTATGGTGAACAAATGTTGTTAATTAGCTCCTCAGTGTAACAGAGAAAGGTATAACACAATCCAATAGCTGAAAGATGAAGCTAGACAAATTAAGATGGGAAATAAGGCAAATTTTTAACAGAGAAATTAACCATTGGAACAATGTGATGGAATCTCCATTTTAAATCAAGATTGGATGTTTTTCTAAAAAATCTGATCTAGGAATTATTTTGGGGAAGTCTTCTGGCCTGTGCCATATAGGAGGTCAGATTAGATGATCACAGGGTACATCTAACCTGCAATAAAAAGACCCGAGGCATGGCTATAGCTGGCCCTTGTGGGACTTAGGCAGCAGGGTTAAAAATGGCAATGTAGATATTCAGACATGGGCTGGAGCCTGGCCTCTTAAATCCCGTGAGGGGAGTGGGTATTAGAGCCCAAGCTCCAGTCCAGACCCCAGTGTCTACACTGCTATTTTAGCCCCACAGCCTGAGCCCCATGAGCTCCAATCAGTTGACCTCAGCTCTGAGACTCAGTGCCATAAGTTTTGTATTGAAGTGTAGATGACCCTCAGTGGGCTCTTCTGGGCCTGGAATCTATGAAAAAGCACTGACATGCTATCAAAAACTACATTGGTTATTAGGATGGTACTGTGGTTAAATCATGGGGCTGAGAGGTGGGTTTATATTCCTATCTCTGCCAAAGACTTCCTATACGACCTTGGGCAAATCATTTAACGTCTCTGTTCCTCAATGTTTCTATATCTAAGGTTTGGATAATATCTTCCTCTGCTGGCTTTTTGGGCTTTCTCCAAATTTTGTAGATTTGCTAAAGGGGCACAATAAATAACATACTTTAAAATATTCTGTCCATATATTCTTAACATATTATTAAAACAGAAGTGTAACAAAATCTGATTCACTTTTCACCGTTTGTTCTTTTTTGCTCAGGTTAGATGATAAAAATAGACTTTCACTTTTTCTGTGTCACTTTCTAGTCAGTTTCACTTCCTGGTTCTCATGCACTAGCACAGCGTGGCACAGTTTGTGTTCACAACTTTAAAAAGTCTTCATTTATGTTTTATTAAAATAATTCAGGTTTTGCAAAATTTTAGTAAAACACCACCACCCTAAATTTTGGCTTCAAAGGGACACCATCAACTTAAGAATCACACTTCTGTCTTAATTTTTTTACTGGTTATTAGTAGCACTTAAGGTTGCAATAACTGAGATGTGACAGAAAAAAAAAACATGGCATATTAATGTGGTTATTCAGTCATCTTAATGCAAGGTAACCTTTTAAATTACTGAACCATCTGGACAACTTCAGAAGTGGGACTTGATAGAATAAACCCAAATACTAATGTAAAAGTCAAATTTCTATTTAAATTACTTTCCTCTGTCCCCAAATACTCTGGATCTTCAACTTCCACTCAGAAAGAAGGCATGCCCATCTGCGTTTGTTTCAAAATCAATATCCAGTTGCTTTATCCAGCAGGGAGGCAGAGAAGTATATGACAGGTTTCAGAGTAGCAGCCGTGTTAGTCTGTATCCGCAAAAAGAACAGGAGTACTTGTGGCACCTTAGAGACTAACAAATTTCACAGATTCCAAGGCCAGAAGGAACCATTGTGATCATCTAGTCTGACCTCCTGGATAACACGGGCCATAGAACTTCCCCAAAACAATTCCTAGAGGAGCAGATCATTTAGAAAAGCATCCAATCTTGATTTGAAAACTGTCAGTGATGGAGAATCCACCAAGATACTGGGGAAATTGTTCCAGAGGTTAATTACCCTGGTGCAAACAGCTGCACAAGGCTACAGTGAAATGACCCTGTGTGTCAAATTTATTAGAGCATAAGCTTTCGTGGGCTACAACCCACTTCTTCGGATGCATATAGAGTGAAACATATATGTTTGATTGGCAAGTTTGCTGTTTTGATCTGCATGTCTCTGGGAAAAGATGAAGCACACATCTGAGAAGTTTCTCATTAGCAGACTGGCCAAACATATATGTTTCACTCTATATGCATCCGAAGAAGTGGGTTGTAGCCCACGAAAGCTTATGCTCTAATAAATTTGTTAGTCTCTAAGGTGCCACAAGTACTCCTGTTCTTTTTTTAGAGAAGTATATGTTGCTTTCACAAGTTCAGCCAGCTACTTGACAAACAAACAAAGAGCATTACTCTTATAATCTTGATTACTGCTGTAGTCCTCATTGTAGCCAATTGATATTTCTTCTAAATTATTAGGGATTTTGTATGAGGCGTGCTAGAGATTCGCTACAAAGAGTAGGTCAGATCTGTACCTGAGAGCTGAAAAAGACTCCCCTTAAGATATGTGGGAAGTTCTGATTGGAATTTTGTGACTTAAACTTGAAACACCCCTAACCTGTAGAAAAGTTTGGATCCAAATCCAAACTTCACACAGAATTCATCTTTAGTTCTAATTGGAAGGTTCTGTTTCACAGAGAAAAAGCTGCACTTTCCAAACTGGCTCTACTATCTGTGGTGCAGTATGTACCACTTATGCTGAGTGGCTCTGGAATGAATGTGAGTCTGTGAAGTGTTCTCCTTTAAGCTCTGCAATATATCTGGTGAGTCATCATGCAGATCTTACAAGCACTTTCACAAATACCAGATGGCAATAAAATTAAAAGTAGTAGCTAGTAGCAATTAAGTGTTGTTCATTATAATCGGAAAGAGAGAGTGCTTGTGGGAAGCCACCAAATTATTTACTTAAAAAAAAAATGGAAAGCCAAGTTTCATTGCTACAGGGAGGAAAAAGAACAAAGTTCAGAATGCAAGCTTCATCATGCAACCATTAATCCTTGCAAGGCTTGATTGGCAAGTTTGCTGTTGTGATCTGCATGTCTCTGGGAAAAGATGAAGCACACATCTGAGAAGTTTCTCATTAGCAGACTGGCCAAAGACTGCCCATTTTTAGACTGTATTGCGAGGTATATACCTGTTTATCCAGAATTTCAGTTCAGTGAGAGTTTGGGAGTCTTGGAGACTTAATGCATTCTCCATGTTTTCTCTACTGTCCTAAACTCCAGGTTGTTCCATTGTACTTGCTCCTTACATTTGGAAATAATGGATCTGACTCCAAACTAACATGTGAAATGGTCCCAGATACCATTGTGTCTGGCTCAGTAGACATAATAATGGGCTTTTAAAAGTTAAGATATTTCACCTTGGGCCTTTCTTCCTGTGTATTACACATCCAACCTGTTTCATGCAGGTTACCTTGGATCTTCCTTCCAGTATATTACACATTTAACATGCATGTCATTGTTATTCTATTTAACAGGCTTTCTTTGGCAAAGTCACATGTTAAAGGGACCCTGCCAAGATTTGATAGGTTAATTTTAGGCTTATCTTCATTTACATATATCTAGCCTAGGAAAGGCTTTTTTTGTTGCCATGAGGAAGAGCCCAAATCCACTCCTTCCTAATGTGTAAACAAACCATGCTGGAGCTGTTTTCTATCATAATGGATAGGTGTTGCCTTGGTTACAATGAATCATACTAAAGTGACACTTATTAATTTTTCACAGCACTTTGGAAGTATAGGGCCAGATCCTGGCTTGCTTCTGTGCTGCACGGGGCATGGCTCAGGAGTGTGTGGGAGCAAAAGTTATTTAAAGCCACCTTTACAATTCCCTGATTCTGGGGCCATCAATCTGTCAGCCCAGTACCCGGCATTAAGGAGAGCAGCCTGTGGATTCCAGCATGTTTTAGCAGTTGAGGATCACCAGGCATGGAGATGCTTGGGCAAGGGGAGGAAATGGGGAGGCATAGAAGTCTCTGTCAACCCCACACTACTAAGCAATTTCCCTCAGCAAGGGGAATCTTCTACTGGGCAAATCCTAATCTGGGTTTGAAAGTGCAGACAGTGCTTATTATTTACTATTAAATAGCTCTTTTCCTTCCTTGTGTTGATACTTTTAAAAATATATATTTTTAAAAATCTAATTTTAAAAGTCTGATTTCATTTTATTATTTATGCTGTCTCATTAATGTGCATTTCACTTGGACATTAGATTAGTCATTTTCACCTTTGTTAGTCAGTTTCACACCCCAGTTCTTATGCTCTTAACCCAGAGGGGTTCTCAGTCTTTTTCTATACCAGGACTAACCCAAAATCTCCTTCCTATTTTGCAATAAGGGAAGGGAGGGGTGGTCATAACTACCTGCTGAGTTGTGATTCACCCCATGGTGATAATACATACATGTACACAATGCTTTTGTGTTTAGGTTTCCAACATTACAGAGGAAAATTTAAATCCCCAAACAGCTGTTGAATTCCAGAAACTTCTATAAACCCCTTTTTTAAAATAAAATCTTCATTTGGTACCTGAATCTCTCTTTAGGTCAGGTATTTGGGGCAGTGTAGGGTTATTCAGTTGTTTTTATTTGCCTGCTGAAGCAAGGATCAATTAGGGGCGGGGCAAGGCAAATAGATACCTAGAACTGTCCAGAGAAGAATCTCAACATGAGCTAAATGTTGAGGTAGGCCACTCTTTAGAGCAACCCTCCTTAATTATTTTTTACAACACCTCTTCCTTATGATTAGTCAGGAGACCAGTAAACAGTATAACTACTAAATCCTTTCTCTTTGAGCAGAAGTGTGTCAAGCGAGGATTTCAGTTGTGGTTAATGCACATCTTGAATTAACACATACTTCTTGGACTGTCTAAATCTATATTAAGTAACAAAATTGCTAAATTGGGTCCTAAGGAGTGCTTGCATGTGGGGGAGTTTTATCATGTTAGTAATCTTGTTTTTCTTTAGTGTATTCCTCCCATTACAGGCAGCTGCCTTTCCATCAAGCTGGAAGACAAGCAGTTTCGCGTGGACCAAGTAGTTCTTCTGACATCACGAGCCATGCATCCATCTGTCTATCTTAGGTACCTTGTGGATAAGGGAGAAGCTGTGGATGTGGTATACCTAGACTTTAGTAAGGCATTTGATACGGTCTCGCATGATATTCTTATCGAAAAACTAGGCAAATACAATTTAGATGGGGCTACTGTAAGGTGGGTGCATAACTGGCTGAATAACCGTACTCAGAGAGTTGTTATTAATGGTTCCCAATCCTGCTGGAAAGGCATAACGAGTGGGGTTCCGCAGGGGTCTGTTTTGGGACCGGCTCTGTTCAATATCTTCATTAACGACTTAGATATTGGCATAGAAAGTACGCTTATTAAGTTTGCGGATGATACCAAACTGGGAGGGATTGCAACTGCTTTGGAGGACAGGGTCATAATTCAAAATGATCTGGACAAATTGGAGAAATGGTCTGAGTTAAACAGGATGAAGTTTAACAAAGACAAATGCAAAGTGCTCCACTTAGGAAGAAAAAATCAGTTTCACACATACAGAATGGGAAGAGACTGTCTAGGAAGGAGTACAGCAGAAAGGGATCTAGGGGTTATAGTGGACCACAAGCTAAATATGAGTCAACAGTGTGATGCTGTTGCAAAAAAAGCAAACATGATTCTGGGATGTATTAACAGGTGTGTTGTGAGCAAGACGCGAGAAGTAATTCTTCCGCTCTACTCTGCTCTGGTTAGGCCTCAGCTGGAGTATTGCGTCCAGTTCTGGGCACCGCATTTCAAGAAAGATGTGGAGAAATTGGAAAGGGTCCAGAGAAGAGCAACAAGAATGATTAAAGGTCTTGAGAACATGACCTATGAAGGAAAGCTGAAAGAATTGGGTTTGTTTAGTTTGGAAAAGAGAAGACTGAGAGGGGACATGATAGCAGTTTTCAGGTATCTAAAAGGGTGTCATGAGGAGGGAGAAAACTTGTTCACCTTAGTCTCTAAGGATAGAACAAGAAGCAATGGGCTTAAACTGCAGCAAGGGAGGTCTAGGTTGGACATTAGGAAAAAGTTCCTAACTGTCAGGGTGGTTAAACACTGGAATAAATTGCCTAGGGAGGTTGTGGAATCTCCATCTCTGGAGATATTTAAGAGTAGGTTAGATAAATGTCTATCAGGGATGGTCTAGACAGTATTTGGTCCTGCCATGCGGGCAGGGGACTGGACTCGATGACCTCTCGAGGTCCCTTCCAGTCCTAGAATCTATGAATGTATCTGGCCCCATCACCATAGTGTCCGATCACCTCATGATCTTGAATGTGTTTATTCTCACAACAGCCCTGGGAGGTAGAGAATTACTGTTTATACCCATTTTACAGGTCAGGCAGAGAGAGACCAAGTGATTTGCCCAAGATTACACAGGGTGCTTGTGGCAAAGCAGGAATTGAACCCACATCTCCCACAGCCCAGACTAGCATTCCAACCACTGAACCATCCTTCCTCGTCAATGTATTATTGGGAACACAGCAATGCAGTTTCTAGCATTAGCCTGGGGATCCAGGAGGCCCCACGCAGCCTCCACCACACATCACTGGGTAGGGGGAATGTACTTGCAAACCACCCTTCTCTCCCTTTTTACATTTCTTGAAATGTGATCGATTATTTAACCCTCATTCCTTAAACACAGGTGGGGAAAATCCCTTAGTTTTCACATGACTCAATGTCAGATATAGTTGCTCCTTCACAGTATAAAAGGTGCAGCCTATTTGGATAGTAACTTATCTTATCCCCTTTGGTTTATCTTAGCTTTTGACCTTTCTTGGACTGCTGTGGCCCCTGCCTGTGCAGAATGGACCCTGTTGTTCTGAGTTATGTGGACAGTTTGCTGAGGCAGTCGGATGTTTCCTTGCTGGATCCCCCCAGCTGGCTTAATGACCACATCATTGGGTTTGCTTTTGAGTACTTTGCTAGTGACCAGTTCCAAGACTTTTCCGAACAAGTATGCTTTGTCAGTCCTGAAGTGGCTCAGTTCATCAAGTGTGCCACCAGCCAGGAGGAAGTAGCCATGTTCCTGAAGCCGCTGGGCCTCCCGCACAAGGAGGTTGTGTTCCTGGCCATCAATGATAACTCCAACCAGGCTGCTGGGGGCACCCATTGGAGCCTCTTGGTTTACTTCCGGGACAAAAACTGCTTTGCCCATTATGACTCCCATAGTAAGAGCAACTCTGCCCATGCCAAGCTGGTGGCAGGGAAGCTGGAGGCATTTCTGGGAAAAAGAGGAGGCAAAGTGGCCTTCGTAGAGGAGAAGGCCCCTGCCCAGCAGAACAGCTATGACTGCGGAATGTATGTGATCTGTAACACAGAGGCTCTGTGTCAGGGATACTTTAGGGGACAGCAGGAGCCAGTACTGCAGCTCCTCACTCCTTCTTATATCACACGGAAGAGGGCAGAATGGAAATCTCTCATTGCCAAACTTGCACGCAAATGACTTAAATGTAATTGTCCCTGCTTTCAACAACTACCTTTCCAGTCCTCTAGTCTCCACCCCAGTGCCTGAGGGAGATATCTGTGTACAGAATTTCTCTGCAGAAAGAATGTGACCCCTCCAGCATGGCTACACCCTGCACTACCCCAACTGAAAAGCCTTAGTCTGCTCTACAACCCACTAGCCTTCAGACTTACGTACTGGTAACATCACGTTTTGCATTCAGCAGAACCTTCTGAAAGGCAGTTTTATTACTTCAAGCACTTTTCTGGCTATCTCAGACTAGGTTGGTGAAGATTCCTCTCACCCCCACAGTAAGCAATGTGCCCTCACTATGTGATTTTTAATTTTCTATGGACATTGCTAGTCTAAATCTAATCCAGTTCAGTGATGTCCATCATACATACATGAGTCCTTTTAAAATTAGGCCCTCTCTGATTTGTCCCTGCCTTTAATTGTGTTTCCAAGTTATAGGATTTAGTAGTCTAGCTACACAACTCTGCCCCAAAATTTGGTTTTGGGATATCTATATCTTGTGATCTGAGAATGCAAAATCAAAAGTAAAGGTGAGGATCATTTAAAGGTGCCTCAAAAGGTAAGAAGAAGAAAAGTGATTTTTGCTCGCTTTTGCTGCTTTAAGGATGTATAACAAAGGCCTGAATTTTTTTTGTTTTTTTTATTGGAAATACACATTTTTTGTACCCGGGATAATTGAACCACTGGAAAGCTAGTAGAAGAGTGACAAAACAAGTACTAAGAAAGTGAAACCTGATTGAGGTGGAAAGTGTTTTAAACAGTGAATAAAGGTTATTTTCATCAACACATACTTAGTACAAATATCCTACAAAAAGTTGGGGGGGGAAAAGCCTTCGATTCCACACCTCTACCCCTCCAGTCAAGTTTTAAGACAACTTGGAATACACATGAAACTGCCAACAACTTCTCTCTCAAAATCCCCAAAAAACAGACTTTACGTTCCTGATATTTCTAATGGAAAAAATGAGAATGAAAAAAGCCTTTGACCCTCTCATACATAATAAAAAGCAGTACCGGGGGAGAGTGTAGTATCTGATTTTTATTTTTTTTAGAGGTGCTGATATCAATGGAAGCTGCAGCTCTTCTGAAAAATCAAGCTGTTAGTCCTTGGTATACTTGTCTATCATACCAAATATAAATGGCTAATTCAAAATAGAAAAGCTTTTGCTGCAGCACTGGATTACATCTGGGATCTAAGAAAGTAGGGCCCATTGTCAGAAGAAGGGGATGTTGATTGAAGAGTGAGCTGTCAGTGTAAAATGAAGTAATATGAATATGTAACCGACAGCCTCACTGGGGACAATGAGCCAGATCCTTAACCTATGTAAAACAGCATAGCTCCATTGATTTCAACAGCACAACCCTGATTCATACCAAATGAGCATCTGGCCCAATGAATTCTTCCAAAATGCCCAGTCAAATAAACAAGTGATTATGGGATTGGGAGGAGGGGAGTTAAAGATCATTACATTATGATCCTTGTTAGACTTTCCAATGCTGACAGACTGGAGGGTTTGCCTCTGGCTCTCTGCTTTCTCTTTATCTTCTTGAATACATGGGAAAAGTCAGTTCCACTGACCTGTGTCTAAAATCCCTGGAACTGTCTGACAAAATAGGGTTGTTGAGTCACTTTATGCTAAGTGCATTGCCTAGCTGAACAACATTCTGTACTGCTTGGACAGCCTGCCAAAGTGGGTCAGAGGCAGGACAGTGGGTTGGTCACTCTAAGGTACTGTAATTTGCTTGTTTTTCTCCCCATTCCCTATTTGTTGCCCCTGCTGCTACCAAGAAGTAACTAACTAACACACAGAGACACATCCTCATGCATTTGCCCTGCAGCACTGTTGTGCAGACACTTACTACTTCTAATATACATTCCAGATTAGCTGTTCAGTCAATACACAGAAATACTTCTGTCTGTGGTGTGATATCAGCATTAGGTCTCCCCCCAGAGAGAATGCTTTTCCGTCTTTGATCATTACAGTATATGATAGGAGGGGGAAAGAAATCAATCCACCTCTGACTCCCTCCTCCCAATCAGATAAGTCACTTGGAGAATCCAGTACCAAGAATAAAGAAAGATACCAATTTAAAAGGCAAGTGTTTTCTATTTTGTAGAATTGGGTTTGTTGTTTGGGTTACATTTTCAAAATGATTGGGGTGGGGGGCCAGGGGAGAGGAGAGTGTTCCTACATCATGTTATCCAATAATAATGCCTTACTCTTATCTAGAGCTTTTCATCAAAGTAATGAGATTACAGCATGGAGCGGGGAGAAGTTGCTGTTGCCACCCTTTGCTAAGCAGTCCAAGAGCAGCAACATTTCTGTTTATTGGGTAGTTTCTCCTTTACAGTTGACAACATGATTCACAAGCAGATTCTTACTATGTTTTGGCACCATGAGGAGCTGGTGAGCCATGTGTCTTGGAAAGTTGGAATGGACCTGAAGTTTCTTTAAATCTCTTCACAACACTTCTATCAGCTAGTAAATGGAATGGATTAAGGGGATGGCCATAAAAAAATACAGCAAAAATCAGGAGGCATGGAAATTAACTCCTGTTAAACCATGTATGATAGCAGGGAAAAAAATATGTTCAGGCTTTATTGTCTCTTCTTTGTATCCCTTATGTTCAATGGCTGCTGCACAGCAAAAGACAGCTGCAGGACAGTTTCTCATAAATGAGTAAAGATTGGTCATGAGATTGAACTAATGTTTGAAATGGGAGGCAGGAATGCATTGCTGCTTGGGAATGGGAGGAGAAGTTTTTGATCATTACTTGTTATTTAGCAGAGCTATAAAATAGCTAGGTGGCCTAGATGTGTGGCTCAGCTAAGCCCAGCTCTACAGCATAAAGGCCCGATCCTACAAGGTTTTGTGTGCCCTCAATTTCCACTAAAAGTATTTCAATGGAACAGTCATTTGGCTGTGCTTTCATTATTTATCCACACTAATACAGCCTCCACTAAAGGAGCCCTCCCACCCCCCCCATTCAAATATCTCATAGCTCAGTGATTAGTGCACTTTCCTGAGAAGTGAGAGAGCCCAGTTTGAATCCTTTTTCTCCTATCAGAGAGGAGGAATTGAATGTGGATCTCCCACATCCCTAGGCAGTTGCTCTAACCGCTAGGCTAAAAGTTATAAGGTGGGCACCTCTTCCTCATGGGTTTTGAATGGTACTTGATGTGGTCAGCATGCTCAGAGGTGTTGGTTTGGGTCCCACACACAATGTAGGCAGCTGAACACCAAGATGCTTGCCCCTGGTTCATGAATCTCAGTGAGTCTGGGGTGAGAGAGAGGCATCTGGATGCCTAGAGAGGGAGGTAGTCACATGCTCTGGGGTCTAAAATTTGGTGCCTGTGAAACTTTTACAGTGAAAAGTTAGGCAGCTGTGGCGACGACACAGGAAAGGAAACAGAACGCCTGGTCTGTGGTAGTCAGAGAGCTTCACAAGCCTCCTGCAAAAAGCCTCCCAGGAAAACTTTTCCTGGGGTTTTTATTTCTTTCCTTACTCTGTTTACAACACTTCTAAGTGGTTGAATTCTTGCACATAGAAGAGGCATGCAGTGTACAATTACATAAGGTAGTAAACCCATATCTTGAGCACGTGAAGGCCAGCTGCGAGGGAGACAAACAAATCAGCCAAGAAGTTTCCCAAACACACACACTGGGTTGAAGGCCACTCCTGCCTTGTAGCCATGGAAACAGTGTGCCGTAACCATGGGCTGACAGGTTGGGAGCTATGCATTCCTACATCCCCCCCTGTTTTATTTTATATGCGGTGTTTAAACGGAGCACCCTCGCAGGGTAGCATGCACAATGCCACTAGATTGGGTATACACTAAACAAAGCAGCAAAATAAGACACCAAAAACTAGAACTAAAACCCCATACTATAAAAGGGTTTTCATCCACTCTAAGGGTAGCTATGACTAGATATAATTCCACCAAAAAGGAAAAACATCCTGGCAAATAACTTAAGCATAACATTTCAGCATATCAATTTGCTATTACATGCAATTACTATTATCAGTAAGCTTAAAACAACACATTTCTTTTACTGTCTCACACCCCAGATGTTGCTGGGTGGTTTGCAGACAGGAACAAGGCAGGTACTTAACAGACCTTGCATTTCCGGGGCAACGGTCAGGCAGAAATCAGATTGATTCAATACTTGTGCCAGGTGGACCCAAATGTTAAACTGCAGCCGCTGCTCCATCTGGGGTTCGCCTTGGCAACCAGGGGCCAACAAAAAAACCTCCCAATACACACAAAATAAGGAGTGAGTTAGCATTAAGGCAAGCTAACAATGTCACAAAGTACAATACATTATACTTAACTCTATCTGCAGGCCAGTAATTGCCTGCAGTGGTAGTGAGATTAAAATGCATGTCTTTCCAATCTTGGGGGAGCAAGTGATAACCGTTTGACTCACCTTCCAAGATCCCCTGGAGCTCGCACAGAACCGAGTAGGGGAGAGCCTCCCAGTCCACTATCTGCCCCCCATTTCCATTATCCCGCCAAGAGACGGGAAACGCCTCGAACCCACAGCTGGATTCCTCGCCGGTCAAGAGACTGGCCTCGCGCGCTTGCCGCACCGCCGCGGCGACAGCGCCCCCCCGCCTGACCGGTGGGCAGGGGGGCGCCGCCGTGGGCGGCGGCGCAGGGAGGGTCAGCTGTGGGTAGGAGGGGAGCGGCCCATCACCTGGGGGCAAAAGGGAAACCAGCTTGGGGCTGTCGGGGCCGAACCCCTCCAGCGCCTCCTTACAACGCTGTCAGAGCAGCAGGTGCTGAACTGGGGCACGGGGCTCACTATACAAGGTGATCCCAACCCGTATCCAATCAAGAAGCCGTAACGACCCGCAGTCAGGATACCAGGGGCACTGGCGATCTATTTCCCTTAGAAGGTACTCAATATGAGCGACCGGGACAACGACACATGATCGTTGCCGTATAATCTTTTGTAACTTTCTTGCGTGCTCCTTCTGGGCACTGGAGAGTCCCCCCCCCATACTCACGAATCAGGGGCGGCAAACGGCTGCGGGGGTGCACTCGGCATGTCCAGCCGGTGAGCAGGGGGTTATGACGTCGGGGTCACCAGCTGTGGCGACGACACAGGAAAGGAAACAGAACGCCTGGTCTGTGGTAGTCAGAGAGCTTCACAAGCCTCCTGCAAAAAGCCTCCCAGGAAAACTTTTCCTGGGGTTTTTATTTCTTTCCTTACTCTGTTTACAACACTTCTAAGTGGTTGAATTCTTGCACATAGAAGAGGCATGCAGTGTACAATTACATAAGATAGTAAACCCATATCTTGAGCACGTGAAGGCCAGCTGCGAGGGAGACAAACAAATCAGCCAAGAAGTTTCCCAAACACACACACTGGGTTGAAGGCCACTCCTGCCTTGTAGCCATGGAAACAGTGTGCCGTAACCATGGGCTGACAGGTTGGGAGCTATGCATTCCTACAGGCAGCAAGTGAGTTTAGGTGCCTGCAGCTAAGCAGGGTTGCATGCCACGCAGTGGTGCCATGTTGGGGAGAAAGGCACCTAACTCTGGAGTTCAGGCACCGAAATTGTTCCGTGGCTCGCACTCACGACTGGGAAGGGAGCAGCGGAGGAAATGTTAAGCACTGAAGGCCTTAAGGTGGAATTTCTTTACACAAGGAAAAGCAAATACATTAAAGTACCAAGGGCGGCAACAGGCACAGTAAGAATAAACAGTGTGAGGGGGGAGTTAGACAAATACTTCCCTGCTGGTAAACAAACCTAACAGGCAGTGCAACTGTGTCACAGCTCAAAGAAAGGTATGAACCCACCTTGCTCCTTTATCTTCCTCAAAGCTTCCTGTGTAAGTACATGCTGGCAATCTGCAAGCCCCAGGTAGGCAATGAGCTGGCACCCACCCTGACAGGAGGGGTCTAATCTGAGCTGCTGTCTGTTGCTTGTTTCATATCAGAAATACAAACGCTGTTTTTAACCATTTAAACAACCCTGCCCCCACACACAAACCTCTACCAAAAATTCAAAGGTGCCTTTGCAGCTGCACCTCTTGCCTGAATTGTGAGAGGCAGCCCAGAATTCTGAACAAGGCAAAACACTGTGGTTACAGCAGAGTTCAGCTCAGCAGGAGAGAGCTGCAGGCCTGGGCTGCTTTCTGAAAGGATTTGTTCACCTATCAAAATAGTTGGGTTTGTAGCAGCACAAGTAGGGAGCTCCCTAATAGTGTATGGGGTAATGGTGGATCACCCTCCATGGATGGGAGCAGAAGCAGTTATAGGGAGCAATGAATCACAGGCTTAGATGGGACATAGCGTAAAGATGGTAATTTTAGTGGAATGAATCTAATTTTTAAAAGGGCTGCCCTGCTGTGCACCAGCATATCTTTGAAAAAAACATCTAGTTCTGTTCTGTGGTTTGTAGATGGCAGGAGCGCAGATGAGCACAGCAGGTAAACCTTCCCTAATGCAGAGCAGCCTAAGGAGGAGCCCAGAATCTCTTGCCTCTATATGTTAATTTAGCTATTTGGGTTTGCATAGAGTCACTGGGGGCCTAAAAACCCTGCAGCTACTCCTCGATGAATGAGTTCTATAAATGCATTGAGAGCTTCCTCCAGTTTGTAGACATTCGTCAGCTCTCGTACCACATGGCAATGTTCCCCTACTGGAGAAGCTCTCCCAACTTTTCTCTGATGTGTGCAGGAAGCTTGGCTCATTAGCTCTTTTGTGAAACATTAGTTCCTTGCAGAAAACTGCAGAGAGGCTCAGCCAACCCTTGGCCAGTGTTGATTTTGCCAA